ATATTTTTGAAGACCAACCTTTCGTGTTCTTTAAATGTGGAGGACAGAGAGCTGAAACATGGACACACAAAGACCATTTTAAAATATATATTGAAATGAAAGGCATGCTTAAAGACTGTATGTCCATCCTTTTCAAAAAAAAGTACATTCTTATAAAAATGCACAAAAGATCAAAGTTTACGGTTTACTAGTATCAAAGTTTCAGTGCATGTTTCTTGAAGGATTGGGAATTTTTGGATATGCCACCCAAGAGAATGCCTTCCGCTGTTGTTGGTGCTTGTGTGGGTGCTATTGGGGATCTATCAAGATACACGATGATCACAATAGCTCAGACGGAATATCTTTTGGTTACGCCATAAGAGAGTCCGATATTTTTAATTTATCTTCCACAGAGGGAATTATTGCACTAACAACATTTATTGAAAGTATGTGCGAAAATGTTTGCAATTTAGGATTTAATGAGGAAGGGTTTGAAGAAAGTGCACGTCTTTCTTCCTCAAGCACACCAATGAGAGCAAAAACTCAATCATTAGAAAGAATTGTAAAGGAAATGGATGTGAGATTTGGTACAAACAAGCCGTCTAATATACACACAAATGAATTTGAAAATCTTGAAGAAGGGAAACGAGTTTCAAAGAAAATTCTTTCTGAAATGTTTGTCATTGGAGAGCAAATTGGGGAAGAACAAGCAAAAGCTTCCAATATTGTTTATATATTCAAGAATTCGAATCCATATGTTTTCGTCAGATCATTCAACATCACCTCATTCGTTGGAATATTTTATTGGGCTGAAACGGTATTTGATCTGAAATCTTATCTATTTTCTCTCTCTATTAAGAAAAATCAAGAACAACTATGGATGAAAATTCTTGATGAACATCGAAGTGATGATTCAAGAAGTCGCAGTGAACATGAACATGATGAATCAAGTAGAAATTTCCATCATGGACACAATCAACAATCGAGAGGTACCTCTTTTGAACCACCCTTCAAGTTTATTCCTGACCCAATGAATGAAATAGAGTGCGCTATTGTTTTAGAGGAACTGTTGGCCTTGAAAAATTTCCAGTTCTTACCAAGCTCTATGAGATGCGATACATCATGCACCAGTTTTTATGGTTCTGCATTTTCTCAACTCTATGGACCAGTGTTTGTCAAGGGCACTGTATTCAGAACGGAAAATGAATCCGTTATGAAACACCTTGTCACGCTCTCTCAAACCAGATCAACTTTTTCAAACATTGTTCGAGTTTTTGAATATCGTGCGATTAAT